GTTTGTTTGCGTTTCTCTCAATTTACAATAGAAAGATGGTATGTTTTTTTTTAAATCAAATCTATTCAAGTCTTTATTGTGGACTATAAGTATTAGGTATGCATCATAAATATAGGTCTTAAATAATTAAAATAAGTTTAGCTATGTTGCCGTTGAGGCATACAATAATGAAATACAAATCAGAATTTAAATTACAATTAGTCATATTTGGTCGTCGAGTGGTATTAACTCGTCGAGTACCGGTTTTGTAGATACAATTATAGAACAATAGGTTGCGGTCACCGGTGACCGCTTGGTATTTGACAGTTTAAACTATTCCAAATTATAGATACATACAAATTCAATTTCAAGTCATAAAAGTCATGATGTAATTATACTTCATTATTACAACATTGCAAATTAAATTCTTACATAAATTTTAAAAAATGGAAAGACAAACAAATTAAATGTAACAACTACAAATTCATGTATTATTATACTTATTTACTGTGACATGTAACATTTTATGTGTTACTTTTTTCATTGACATCGTGAGTTACAGTAGGTGGTACATAAATACAAAGTTTCGTCTTTTATTTCCTAAAATAGGCCATTGATCTTTTCGGGTTAGTAAAGGCGCTTATAAATTAAATGTGGCTAAGTTTTAACCAATTATAAGTACCACCACACGTAACAGGGTGCTAGCTTATTGCCAATGCACAGGGTAATGCTAGACTCCACGCCATCGCAAAAAAATTTACTAACCCACGAATTGAATCCTAAACATGATGCTATTCTTGAGACAATTTATCAAATAAAATAGTGATAGAAGAGAACGACTAAAATTATTCTCTATACTATCTATACTAATATTATAAACCTGAAGAGTTTGTTTTTTTGTTTGTTTGAACGCGCTAATCTCCGAAACTCCTGGTCCGATTTGAAAAATTATTTCTGTGTTGGATAGCCCATTTATCGAGGAAGGCTATAGGCTATAAAATATCATACTACGATTAATATACACCGAGCAGAGCGAGTCAAACCGCGCGGAAGTAGTTAGTTTAAACATAAATCTGATATAACGACATATTATTTTAAGAGATGGTGAGCTGACAACGTGACCTAGTTCCAACTTATATTTATTACGCTACTCATATAACGTTACATATGAGAATTCTTATATATTTACAGTTGGTATATACTTGTAAGTTTTCTTTCGTTGATTTATGAAAATAAAAAGTTACATAAAATATGATGTCTAATATGAAATTGTAAGTTTCTGTGATGGTTCAGTGGCCTGTTTTTCATTAGATGACTCCTCCTGCCTTGGATAAGGAGAAAGAGAGTGTCAGACCCTTACTGACTAAAAACCACCCCGTTCCTACTCCTACACTTCAGGCCGGAACCCCGGCAACCCTTTAAGTCCTCCGCGGCTCCGTAGGTTTTTCGTCAATAAACCGCTGTTTTATGTAATACTGTAACTAACCACAAATGGTTACTTGGTAGGATACATATTTTTTACTGTTGCTATGTTAAATGTCTAAGATAATCTCGCTTGATAGACTTGAGTAACAAAAGAGTCCTTATATACCTCGTGTGTTCATAAGTTTTGAGACAAATTAAAAGTTGCATATCTTTTTAAATAATAAACTTATATTTATAAAAACAATAACAAACATTAAGTAGATAGTAAGTAAAAATTAAATATAATTATTATTCAAAATGACCACCCCTGTTTTTAATAAATGCCCTTAGACGATTTGGCCAGTCATCAATGGCGGCACGAATCTTTTCCAGAGGAATTCGCTTCGCTTCTCAGACAAGAGCTCGCTTAAGTGACTCCAAGTTTGGGTGGGACTTTCGGCAGGCTCTGAGCTCTAATTCGGTCCATAGAGAATAATCCAGCGGGTTGAGGTCGGGGCTGGAGGAGGGCCATTCGTTCGCCGCAATGAAGGCCGGCACATTTTCCTTCAGCCAAGCTTGGGTGGTTTTAGCCTTATGGGATGGCGCCGAGTCTTGCTGGAAAACCCAATACTTGTTATGGAATAGGGTATTAGACAGGGGTTTCACAACAGTCTCTAGAATGTCACTTTGATAATTTTTGGCTTTCACCTTGACGCCTTGTTGGCAGAAATGAAGCTGAGTGACACCTTCGTACGAAACTCCCCACCATACCATGACACTAGCCGGATGATGAGTACGCGAGACATTCCGTGCTGAAGGTGGGACATCCTTGCTACTTTTGGCATACACTTTATTGTTTTGTCGATTGAACTTTTCTTCGACGGTAAAGATTTTCTCGTCGGTGAAGAGTATCTTCCTCGCATCGTGTCTCCTAAGCAGTATTGGACAACGTTCGCGTCGCAATTGACGAAGGCGATCGTTTAAAAAGTGTACTTTTCTACGGCTATACGCCTTAACCTTGAGATCATATTTCAGTATTCTGTTGACTGAAACGCGCGAAATATTGGTCTGCAGAGCGAGTTTCTTCTGAGTGCGACATGGATTTCGGCGAAGTCGCTCTCGGATGATTTTAATGTTCGCAGGCGTCCTCACAGAGCGTGGACGACCACTTCTTTGCCGATCATGTAAAGAACTTGTCTCCTGGTATCGTTTAATAGTGTAATACACGAAGTTACGGCTCACACCAAAACTTTTCAGTTCTCGGAAAATGTCCATAGGTTTTCTTCCCACCTTAAATAATGAAATGACGGTCGCACGTAATTCTTTTGTTCCCTCCATTACGAGAAAATTTAAATAAAATAATCCGAAATCATAGATATTAAAAGTTAACATTCCAAATTCAAAATTAGAAAAAGAAATATACAGCAGCCAGTAATTTTTATTTTATTTTTATAAGCAAAAAGTTTGTCTCAAAACTTATGAACACACGAAGTAATCATGGTCTCAGAAATAACAAATGAAAATAATTCTTAAAATAAATAGGAATAAATGTTAAATTTCATTTGTGCTCACTCGAGCTTGAAGGCATTAGTTCTAGTGACTGAAACGTTGTCGTTTTCCTGACTATTTTTTTTCAAATTTAATATAAGACGCCGGTTGATAGAACCTTTCAATTTTATAAAAAATATGAGGGGAAGTAAAATAAATCGATTCACATTTATATTACAGTCTAGTTATAGGATCGTCTAATATTATGGTGTTTGATGTCCTATTCTACTGGCTTGTTTATCTTTATACTTTACTAGCAGCCCGTCCCGGCTTCGCACGGGGTAGACAAATATTTATTTTTGGAAATTTGGATTGTTGTAGTGACATAACCACAATAGTTGGACATATGCTACCGCGGAGTTTTTTGTAGACATTATGATGTTCTTCAATATTGTTGCACATTATTTTTTTTTCTATCGCTAATAGTTTCGGCAGCGCATTCGACGAAAGACATTTTAAGACTAATTTTTCTACACCTTCGGTTATATTGTTCAAATTTTACCAAGGATCCCTAATTTTTTCAAAATGAAATGTAGCCTATGTCAAATTGGAAGAATGTTGCATTCTATTGGTGAAAGAATTTTTTAAATCGGCCCAGTACTTTTTGAGCCTATTTATTACAAACATACAAACATACAAAAATTACTCTTTATAATAGTAGTATAGATAAAATAACGAGCTGTTGCCCGTGACTTCGTCCTCGTATAATATGACTCATATTTTATCCCATGGGAGTATTTAATCGGGATAAAACTATTCTCACTGTCTCGTTGGCCGAGTGCTCGGAAGTGCGACTGCCGGGAAAGGGGTCTCGGGTTCGATTCCCGGGTCGGGCAAAGTAAAGTTGGATTTAAAATAAAATTGTCAGTAGTGGAGAGTAACCTAGACAACGGTTTTCGGTTTACTTCTGTTGCTGAAGTCAACAACTAGAAATATGAATGTGAAAGATTTTGACAATTTGTCTGTTATTTTTACTAAACGGGTCTGAATTAAATATGAGAGATCTGTGATACCATTCAGTTTGAAATAAGGCATTATAAGGCAATATAATTATAAATGTTTTTTACTTTTTTACCTCGCAGAAGCTAGTAGCATTAATGTATGAATATTTGAGAGCATAACTTATTGGGTTCTTTGATTATCAAAATATCAGTACTATAACAAGGATTCCAGTATAAAATACGGTAATCATCAATAAGATTTTGAGATTCTAGAACTTAATTTGAATCCTGATGGAAATAATATTACATTTTCTTTAATACTAAGGAACAGAGAAGGGCGAAAATCTCAGCTGGCATTTGGATTACTTAATATCTTAGAAAATGTTACCGTTTTAATAAAACCGTGATACTACTTCAAAGCATTCTGTTTCGTTCAGTATTTTCATATTAAGCAAGTATTAATTTTGGAAAAGAGGTCGTTTCCCCTCATAATCTGTTTTTGTATCACAGTTATTCCCCTTCAATTATTCCAAAATATAATTCTATAAAACCTCGCTCAAGTGGTCGCAAACACGATTACTTAGCATGAATGTTAGGGTGGACAAAGCAGAGCCGAATTTTTCTTAAAGTAAACTAGGCAAGTACCTAGGTAATCAGGATATAGGCTCCGCGAGACGCGCGTGCTCAACTGCCCATAGAGTGGCGGCGGCGCTATAAAAAGATAATGGCGCCTATGAGATGCCTACCTAGGGCGCTCTCTAGCTTTAATCCGCCTGGACGGTGAACAAGGGTAGCTCGTCGCCCGACCAGAACCAGAGCGTACGGCGTATCGCGTTCCGCGCGCTCCTCAACGAGCCATCGGACCACCACAGGTGGGGCCCAATAGGACTGGTGCCGATACGAAGCTGCGGAAGGCTTAACGGGTGGCCGGAGCCCCGGCTCGAAGAGCAGGAGTAGGAACGGAGTGGTTATTAGTCAGTAAAGTACCCAAGGCGGCAGAAGTTATCCCACAACAAAAAAAAAAAGATGTAACCCGCCTTTGAGACCTAGTATTAGACTTTCCAACCACTTCAGCAACGACAATATGTCTAACTTTTTTATATTATGTTCCATGTTTTTTGTCCACAGTATACGTGTTTCTGGGCGAGCATATAGCTCTGGTGGACTTCGTGAAGGTGATGCAGCGCCGCGGTCTCCTCACTGCAGGGGAGTACGCCATAGTGGCGGTGGATGATGAGATCTATGATCCCAGCACCGCTGCCATCACTCATGCTGGTATGTTTAAAGTTGTATCTAACTTCAAAGTCAAAGTCAAAGCATTTATTTCAAATAATTCTTAATTAGGCACTTTTGAAACATAAAAATGGTTGCCTGTAAAGTCGTTTTTACGGGCGAAGATTTTACGTGACAACGTCTTTTTCTCGGTAGAATATTTATTGATATGAATATAATTAAATTGCACAATAGGAACAAGGAATTGAATGAACTAGTGCTGCGCGCGCGGCAGACCGATCATAGTTGAGTGGGAGAGAGACGCAAGGCATTCGGCGGGCCTCTCTCTCGTTCGGTGACTCATCGTAACGTTACCGAGCGTTACACTTTTTCATAAGTGACTCCCAGCCGCAACCTAATTTAAGACGTTGTCACGTCAAAAATTATATCGTTAGTCCGTCTGTCTGTCAGTGAAACTAGGCGCTAACCTTCTTCGAGGTTGCAACTAGTTCAGTTTTAAATATTGGCCTCATGTAGTTCTTTTTTTTTAATTCTCGTGTAAAAGTGGTATTTTGTAGGCTATTTGCAAAACAAATTCAATTGTTTCACTTGTTTTTTCACTTGGGACTGAATTTAACCTTTAACCTGACTGAAAAGCAGGTTGCATGGAGTTGGTTTAGTAGTCATAAAGCTGCATACCAACAGTGCAGCTCCATTGCAGGCGATATGCGGTTGATAGCAAATTAGCTACATGGTAGGTTTTGTAGTTCAAATGCAGTTTATTGCACTAGACGCAAAAGATTTTCTTCTGTTTCTTTCGCTTCATTGTAAAGGCGGTAGAACAAAGTAAAACACAATAAACATTAAACCTTACAAAATAAAATTGCTACCCGTGATAATGAAGTACGAAGCTATCTATTTAAATATGTTATCAACACACCAACGGTTAAGCACCTATGTGTTCTAGGTTTTATTTTCCATTAGGCAAATTAGTTTTCTACCTTTGTCTACTTTGTTGAGAATAATATTGTTATTTTCTTTCTTTTAATGTTTCTGTTTGTTCACAGATCATCTTGATCTTGGACAGAATACTAGCAATGACGTGTTGGCGTTCCGCGCTGTACTGAGACTCACGCCTTCATTTCCGACTAATCCACACTACGGGTAAGTATTTTTAAATTTAAAATGAGAAATAATTTAGTCTACATAATAATAAAGTGAGATAAGGTCTCTTATCCCTAAAAATGGTGAATCTTTTGTAATTTTTTCTGGAAGTATTCAAAGCTCGAATGAAGCGCTGCTTGCTTGAAGCGTGCTCGATCGTAGGTCGCGTCAACGCTTACTACCAGATGAGACAGTGGCAAACGACGATCAATTTCCAGTATAAAATTAAGACAGATAATATTAAATACAGTATACCTGGGATGTTTCGTTTGGCTTAGATATTTCTAAGTAATTTCAGTAGGTACTCTCATTTTATTGTATCAAGTCTATGACTAAAGCTTACCTTTTTTGATAGTGGGTTTCAAACTTCTAAAGTGAAGTATTTTTAATTAAACAACTTAAAAAAAAAGAACGACTGCCTCGTTGGCCGACTTGTCGCAAGTGCGACTGCCGGACAAGGGGATTTGATTCCCGGGTCGGGCAAAGTATTACTGGGTTTTAAAAAAAAATCTCAGTAGTAGCACGGAGTATGGAATTGTGCCCGGTATATGGCAATAAGCTCACCCCCTATTACATGGGACTCATTACATTAATAGTCAACAGAGGGTGTTACATTGTACAGTGGCATAATGTGCACCTCTGCGTGATGTTATGTTATGTTAAAAAAAAGAAGGAGGTTCTCAGCGTGATATTTATGCATGTTTGTGGGCGTCCATCTCACGATTGACTGAACTGATTTTCATGCGGGTTTGAGAAAAGTATTTGTTACGTACTTAGGAAAAGGTTTAAGTATATAATTAACCGACTTACAAAAAAGAGTTTTCATAATACCTATCGTGCGACATACTAAATTAACTAAAAATAGTGGGTTACTCACGTGAATATACTGAGAAAAGCTCTACTAGTTTCGAACTACAGAGGGGTTCTTCCTCATGAGCAGCGTGCGCGGTCGCGGCGATATCGCGTAGCCTACTGTGGTTCGAAACTAGTTAAGCTATTCTCAGTATATTCACGTGAGTAACCCGCGATTTTTATTAAATTCCAAAAAAGAAGTTGATGAAGTGAGTTTTTTTAAACGTAGTTTATAAAGATTGAATACTATGGGGATGGAATAAGATTGAATATTAATATTCTCTATGGGGAATGAAATGCATATGAGCATATACCGACTATTTCATCAAAAGCTAAAATTCGTCTATAGTTAGAATTAATAGAACCGTATATTTTCATATCATGGGTTCGACTACACAATTATTATTGTTGTTATCGTTCTTCTATTGTGGTTCAGCGGTTCTAAATATAAAGTTGTGTTTTGTTTTGATACAGAAACATGTGGAATTCTGTTTTTGCGATTGACTTGATGGTAGACTAAATAATCACTCTATTTTTGAACTTTTTCTTGGAATCTTTATATTCGTGACTAAATTGGAACTTGGCTGAGTTATGTTGACTGATTTGTAGCTAAAATTAGTGTAGTGAAATTTTAGATTGATTAGTTATCTATTTTTAATTATGATTTTTTATTTATTTATTTGTTCTATACAATTGCATAAGGACTTAATGGCTAACAATGTTCTCTAACAGTCATCATTTGATTATCGTATAAATACTATACTTTACAAGTCGCAACAGGTCGTAAGTTCGACTATCGGGAAAGGGGTGGGTTCGATTCCCAGATCGGGTAAAGTATTACTAGGTTGTTAATAATTCTCAGTAGTAGCACGGAATATGGAAGTGTGGCTGGTATATGGCAATAGGCACCTCCCATTACATGGGATGATGGGACTCATAACATAGATAGTGAAAAGTGGGTGTTATATGTGTATACAGTTGTAGTGTAGTGATATAAGAATGTATTAGTCGTAATCTAGACTTCATCTATTAAACACGTGTATCCTAATTAATTATTGTTTCCTTTACACCCGACACCTCACAATAGCATTAAGTGTTATAATGTGCACCTCTGTCGACAAAAAGCGTGACGTTGTTATGTGTTATTGAACCACTAGTCCGACTACTGAGAAGTCAAGATATTATTATTTTGTAAAGTATGTTTGTAAAGTAAGTCTCAAAGACTTGAAACAGCAAACTTGTCGCACTACCAAAAGTGACGTAACAACGCATTCCTGCACACTCTTGTAGCATTAAAAAACACATACTTGCAAGGAAACGAGTTCGATGTACCGATGGCCTATTTCTGTACCGTATCCATCAGATTGTTTGACAGATTGTCTGCATCAAAGTTGATGTATTGTTCTCTAAGCAAGGAAATTGATATCAAACACGTATTGTTTTGATACTTTCTAGTGATTCTACCGTATATATGTATAGTGTCAAGGACATATTGCTGACGTAGCTTAGGCTTTTGTCGAAAGAAAATAAACAAAAGATTTAGTATTTGTCTAACAAATGTCGTGGAACATACTGAATGGAATTAGTATGAACATCTATTGTTCTATGATCTTCTTTTGTTTTTTTTGTGGATTATATCTACACTATTCTATTTCGAAGATTTGATTTACCACTCAATTAGTTTCAAGTCCCACTGGAGCTTATAACCAAATACTGTATACGGTGACCTTAATCCACTTGAAAGCAGTTTAATATTATTTTTGATTATGGATATTATAAAAATCTGTATTGAAATAAGCAAAAGATGTGTAAAAATATTAGTAATAGCTAGTATTTCATACTTTCAGTAAAGATCTGAATCTCTGACTGCCTCGTTGGTCGTAAGTGCGTTTGCCGGAAAATGAATCTTGGGTTCGATTTCCGGACCGAGCAAAGTAGTACTGGCTTTTTTAAAAATTCTCAGTAGTAGCACGGAGTCTAGAATTATGGTCGGTATATGGCAATAGATTCACCTCCTATAACATGGGACAATAACATATAGTGAAAAGTGGGTGTCACATTGTACAGTGGCATTAAGTGCCGTAATGTGAACTTCTGCCTACCCCTTCGGAGATAAAAGGCGTGATGATATTGTGTGAAATTGAAAAAAAATATTAATACTTATCAAGAAATTAGTAGGAGCAGCTAGTATTTCATAGTTTCAGTAAGAATCCTTATCTAAATTTCTAGGGAACTTTTATACTACAAATATTTATACTTTCAGTGACTCTTTACAGAAAACGAATAGTACCGTACACGTTCTATGAAATAATATCAAATAACAGTTTAGCACTAAATCTTATTAAAATCACTCAAACGAATCAAGATATTTTTAGCTAACACAAAACCGATATTAAAAGGAAATATTTTATTGACTTATATTATTTCTTTGTATGGATAAAATAATTTGAATAGGTAAGTACTATCACACATAGCATTTTCTCTGAAACGTATTCAAGGTTTTGTTCCACGAGTCTCGCCGAGTTTTCAAGGAAATACATTATTTTTGATCACATTAAAATATAATGATAGATAAAAGAAAGAGAGAGATAGATAGAACATTGAAGATAAAAAGAGTCAAAAGTATGTGTTTGCCTTTAACTATATTCACAATATTTATTCAAAGTTCTAGTCACAACTTCAAAGTTAGCAATACTTCGTGAACCGCTACGGCGTAGCGCATAGTAGCTACGAGTGCTACGCCGTAGTAAACTCGTAGCAGATTTCAATTCAATGAATGCCACAAGTGTTTGTTTCCTAGATATTTGATTTCAAAGGTTTTTTCAGATTAAAGTAATACGAGTCAGTGAAAACAATACTTTATTTATTTACAATATACTGCCTATTATTCCTTGAAAGGTTGACTAGGGAAATTTGTATTGATATAACACCCACTATTTTTTACTAATATTAAATTCCAGATTCAGAATATCAGTACTGTTTTTATATATCGTGAGACATACTTAATTAACTAAAAGTCAACGCGACCGCGGACGCTGCTCATGAGGAAGAACCCCTATGTGGTTCGAAACTAGTAGAGCTTTTCTCAGTATATTCACGTGAGTAACCCGCGATTTTAGTTAATATCAGTAATATTTATTTTATATCAACCAATGAAATCTATTCTAATATTATAAAGAGGAACGATTTGTACCTATTTTTGTATGTTTGTTATGAATAGGCTCAAAAAGTACTGGACCGATTTAAAAAACTCTTTCACCAATAGAATGCTACATTCTTCCAATTTGACATAGGCTACATTTCATTTTGAAAAAAATTAGGGATCTTTAGTAAAATTTGAACAATGTAACTGAAAGTGTATAAAAATGAGTCTTAAAATGTCTTTCGTCGAATGCGCTGCCGAAACTATTAGCGATAGAACAAAATAATGTAAGTACAACAATATTGAAGAACATCATAATGTCTACAAAAAACTCCGCAGTAGCATAATAATATGTCCAACTATTGTAGTTATGTCACTACAACAATCCAAAATTCCAAAAATAAATAAATGTCTACCCCGCGCGAAGCCGGGACGGGCTGTTAGTAAACAATAAACTCAGATCTTGTTGCAAACAAAACAATGAAATGACGTTTGACTCAAAGTCGAAGAATAATCATTCCATTCGGAAAGTAATAATTTTATTCATTATTGTATGAATGAATGAGTGAATGGAACTAGGTTGAATAAACTGTGACCCAGATTCTGTCCAATCGCTGTCCGTGACTAGCCAAGGATTACGTTCGAGTTCTAGACCCTGTTTTCATTTGAACTCCGGTTTATTAGTTCGTACAGGAAAATTGTTGTTATTTGTTCGAATTTGGATACTTGCTAGGGCTAGTTGTGGAGATCTTGTTTGGTAATATGAAACTAGCTGCTGCCAGCTGCTTTGCTTATGTTTCCATAGGATACAGATGATGTGGAAAAAGTAGTATATTTGGTTCTATTTGTTGTGTTTCGTCGTATGAGTAACCATAGGCCCAATTATCCCCCTCCCCAATCTCCCTAATCTCCAAATCTCCCACAATCCTCAAATTTCTAATCCTTAAAAGGCCGGTAATGGACTCGTAACACCTCTGGTATTTAGGGTGTCTATTGGCGACGCCGA